CACACAGGTTTGCTGTGAGCAGTTCTCATAGATTTTCACGGTTTGGTACAAGACAATACTCTGTGTTTTGGGGCTTCTTTTAGAGTGTAGTTAGATGACTCCTCCTTGGATCTTTCTTCTTTGGACTGCATGACGTTGTTCCTCACTTTCCTTCAACAGTACAGATATAGATACAAGGAGTGAGGGTTTGTATTGACAAAGAATTAGCAAAAAGTCCTAGTTCTCTCCAGAGGCTTTGTGAGGAGCAGGTCATTAAAGAAAAAATAGTCCAGGCAAAACAAACTCCAGGAGGAGGCCAGCTGTTAGATGCCCCCCACCTCCTATGGGATGTTTCCGTCAGATCCACCATGGATGCATGGCAAATTTCTACTCTAATATTTTAAGGCAGCATGTTATCAAGCCTCAGAAGTGAAATTTAAGACAAGTGTAGGGTAACACACATGGGGAAAACCTTACAATAAGAAGAAAACAAACTCTAGGAAACGTGGTTAAGAAATATCAGACTCTATTAATAATGGAGTCTTCAATAGCCTTGGAGAAATCCAATACAAACCAAATTCAAACTACATGTCAGCACTTCCAGCCATATTTACTTTCAATCGATTATGTTTTTAAAAATCTTAGGTAGGAATTCTTTAAGAAAACCAAATCCAGTTAAAACCTACATTCTTTTAGGTAATGAAAATTAGGTAAAGAACATAACTTCAGGTTTTTCTCTTTTAATTAAGAACAGATATCTTAGTATTTTTCTTTCCTGGTTCATTTTAAAAAATATTTTTTTGAGAAAAGATGGGAAGTTCCAATAGGAAGGGTAGAGCAGAGATGAAGTTAAGGAAGAATATTAAGAGAGATGAGAAATTATATAATATTTTTAAATGCAATTTTAAATCATGCATAACTTGTCTTGGAGTTCATCCCAGATAAGTATCAGTATAGTCAGGGATAATGATGAATTCTGGATTAGAACTGCAAAGCTTTGGAAAAGGCAGTAAGCTCAAGTCTTGGGAATGCAAATGTATGACATTTTGGAATGATCTACTATCCAAATGGAGGGAAATGAAGCTTAACCCCATATGTCAATGTATTCTCATAAATATCCATCTAAAAGGGCACAGCTGCATGCATACCTGTGCACAGGCGTACTTGTACAGACATGCACATGGACATGGACAGCTAGACACATCCTTTAGGGTATTAAAAAATAGTTCCTAGGTAAAAATTGTAATAGTGCAATGGTTTTTAGGAAAAAAAAATTGCTCCCTAATCTGGCTCAGAATGTAAAAAAAATGACTTCCCTATAACATTGTATAATGGATCTTCTGGTCACAGCCTCTCAGGGAAGCATAATTTATGCAGTGGACGACTAGAAGAGTTTTATGATATCTAGAATCCATTTAAAAACTTTAGATGGGAAAAATTGGGATCCAATTAAAACCTTAATAAAGGACTCTGTGTTGAATATAAATATATTAAATTAATATGTGTACAAGATAAAATTGGAAAAGTTATGGGAATCTGCATTTTAATTTTATTTCTATCAGGAAACTGTATGTTATAAATCTGAGAATTACTTGGTAATGGGGTTGTTTACAATGAAGCAAAACTGAATTTAAATAGGGCATTTTAGCCCACAACTTGTCATAACTCATGAGGTATCAGCATTAAGGCATGCTGAGATCTCATTTGTGAAAGGTCTGTGAATAGAGGGAAGATGGACCATTTGGGGTCCAGAAGAGCCCTAGGGAGGCTCATGTAGTGATAGGACCAGCCCATAAGGATCTCTCCATCCAGGGGAACAAGGGCTGGCAGGCTACTACGTGTCATAGGTGAGATACAGCAGAGACAGTCCTCAGTGGGAGTTCATGGGCAGAAGGTGGTATGGGAGTTTGGTTGCACGGGAGACCTGGCTGGGATGTACAGCATCTTGATTAAAGTTGTACTGAGGTGCTGGGGGTTGATATACAGTGAGTATACCTGTGTACACTCAGGGTGTATTCTTCATGTGTATACATACTTACCCTAGGCTTTTATCCTAGTATATTTCCTAGGGAGGATACATACTTACCCTAGGTTTTATGACTACCAAACATACACAACAGACTAAAACTAAATCAGAATGGTGCCAAATGGTAGAGATTGGGCTCCTAACATACTGGACAGCTGAATGCAGCAGTTAAGATGGCAGACCTAGAAATCAAACTACCCAGGTTCAAACCTCTGTCTGTTTCCCCACTTACTAGCTGATATGCCAACATCCATATAGATGTTATAAGGATCAAATGGCATATTGTATTAAATTGAAAGGTGCCTTAATTTTGTTACTATTATTTTTGGAAACAGGTTTTTGGCTTTAAGTCACTTAACTTGAGACTTGGAAAATTATGCTACATCTTGGGCCAGACTAAGCTATTCCTATAGTTTGGCCAGTTTTAAAACAAAAAAATCCTGGCCATACCCCCACTTCAACCCCACCACGCTCCCACATATCTGGCTGTACCTTCATCCTCTTAGAGGTTCAAAACCTGTTTTTATTTCCATCCAACTGGTTTTTCCTATCTAACTGCTGTCCATCTGAAACAGTGATTATTAATAGTGCTTTGTAAAACTTCTGGTCCAGATTTATTCTGGAATCTCTTGAGTTTCTTTTTAGGTTGTTATAAATGTACCTCTATTTCTATCTATATTTAGGCAAAACCTGTCAATCCCAATAAAAAAATAACATTTTGACAAGTGTGGATGTGGATGGATGGGAGTTTAATTGATACAGCCATCCCCAAGGCTTGAGGGAATTAGTAAAGTCCTCACTACATCCATGTCCATCTTTTTGAGACAGCCAAGGTGAATGGCAATTGTTCTATTCATCCTCTGCCACAAGCGATCTTTCCTCAAAGGTTTTATTCTTTAGATAAATAGCACTAAAGAGTGTTCACCATGCCAGGAATTGAAGTGAGTGGATTTATAAGCATTAGCTCATTTAATTTTCACAGGGATAGATACTAAGCTAAGGATTAAACAGAGGTTAAGAACTTGATCAAGGTCACCCAGCAAGGAAGTGCTAAGCAAGGCTGCTCACCAGAGTTTGCTGGGTTGTCTCCTAGACCTGCAGACTTTCTGGAAAGAGAAATGATATGTTCTGCCCACCCTTGCCTTCCCACCTATTCGGTCCAGTCCCTCTTCGCTTAGACCTTTGCTTCCACTTGGTTGAAGAACTTACCCTGCTATGTCATCATGTATCTCTTATCTTTCCCACTTGACTGAAGCTGAGTCAGTGCTAGAGACCACGAAAATCATTCTCTCATCATTCCTGACTGGTCCCGTAGTATGTCAATAAAGACATTATCCTCCAAGTAGGTGGTAGTTAGGTCAAAAAGATTTATTTTTCTACAAGTAGCTCAATACAGTTTTGTTGAATTAGCAAGTGAATGAAATATTGAGTTTTCCTGGCCCACAAAAGACCCTGAGCTAAAGCAGCAGCTTGAAATAATACAGTCCTGATCAAGGAGTTCTTATTGAAAATTAGGAAGCAGCTCTCTAAGGCAGATGAGGAGGCTGGAGGAAGAAGTGGAGAGCAGGGTGTGTTCCCTCAGGGCGACTGAAAAGAGGAGCTTCCCTTGGGAGCAGGCAGTTCATCCTCAGTTCCAGACCCCTTTTCCTGTGATTCCTCCTCTCTCATGACTCTGAATGTTCTCATCAGTAAAACACCAAATCCTTGAGGCCTGGTTTCTGCGTTGTGTCTGTGAGCCAATTTCATGATGTCACTGTAACTAGCAGCTCATAGTGCTTTCCCTGACTCCATGTAGGTAAACTAGACAGTGTTTCTTAGCAAGTGGAACCCCTTGTGAGTAAATATTTTGGGCCTGGTTTCAAGATTTCTCTGACAGACCAAGTGGTAAAAATCTGTGTACATACAAAGAATGTTCTCTCCCTTCTTCTGCTGTGTGTGACGTTACTTTCCTTATAAAATTAACTCTGATTCTTTTAGCATGTTCTTACCTGGGAACTGGGCTTTCCTTGTCGATTTTCACTCAAAGAGGGCCTGCTGAGGAGGGGTGGACAGGACCCAAAACATTTCTTCTTCCAGTCACCTGCCTGTTAAGTACAGCTGCTGTATTCCTATCTGTTTTAACATAAGTTCAGGTTGTTTTGTGAAAACTGGCCTCTCTGGATTTCTAAGCCTGTTTAGATGTAGTCTTGTTACTGAAGTTGCAACAAAGCTCGTTCAAATTCTAAACTTATAGCAAGGAAGAGCAATGTCCTGTCTGTGCATGTGCACACACACACTGTATATACACATATAATCAATGTATACATGAAAATGTATGTTCATATACATATAATTCTATTTACTGTGTATTTGTTTACACACATTTTCATAAACACATGTTAAAGCATGAAAGAAATGCATTTTATATATACACATATATGTATATGTGCATGTGTGCACATAAAATACTCAGTGTAAGGTTTATGGCATCTTTGGTTAAATTAATAGGTAATTTGTGCTACTATTAATGGCAAATTATTAATTTTTAACAAGCCTACCACAGAATTTTTAAGCAGAGTGAGGCCTTTATCCTTCATCAGCGCAGGAAGCATTCATTTGCTACTTTTGAAGAATCCTTTGATGGTGCCTGTGGAGGGGTGTTTCCAAACCATTTAACTTTTTAAGAAGTGTAAAACGGGCGCAAGGAGTTTTCCCGACCTGTTAGAGGAGGCGGAATCAAGAAGAAAACACCACGCTCTTTCCCCAGGCTGCTGCTGACTTTGTATACGTTGAAAATCATAACATTCACAGAAATAAAAGAGAAAAGAATAAAGTAGTAAGAACCTACAAGCAGCCCTTGGCGCCCTGGACGGCACGTGACTCAGAGGCGAGGCCTCGCAGGCCGCCAGCCAGTGGACTGGACCGAGGGGCGGGCCCGAGGCCCGGGAGGCGGGGCCTGTGCCCGCGCAGCTCGCACCGCGGTCCCCTTATTTGGATCTGCGGGAATGTGGGCTGAAGCGCTCCTGTCGCGGTACCAGCGTCCAGCCTGTCCCCGGGACTGCCCCTGACTCAGGCGCACCCACTGCTCGTTGGCAGGAGGGTCGGCGGAGCGTCATGGCCTGCATCCTAAAGGTAACGATTCGGGTCTGTGGCTACGACGCGTGGTTGGCCAACCTCCTGCTGCTAAGAGGCACCGAGTCAGCCGTGGTCCCACTGCATCCTCATCTCAGTTGTCTTTTCCTGGCACTGATCTTCTTTTTGTTCCTTTGGCAAATGCATATGGGGGAGATTCTGAAGCATGCAGCTTGCACAGCCTCTTTTCCCACCATTCCTGTCTGCTCGCGCCTGCATTGAGGGAGCTGCAGACTGTTGGCTCCAGGGGAAAGCAGGGCTGTGTGCCGAATAATGGGGATGGCAGGGAGCGGAGGGGTGCTCCCGCGTGTCCTGTGGTTCTGTCGCCTGAGGCCTTCCAGGGGCCACGGAGAGAGGAGGAGTGGCTGTGTATGGGTTATTGGTGGTGAGGGGTATAGCACTTTAAACGGGGTTTAGAGGAAGCAGAGGGGTGTTCTACTGAGCATTTGATCATTTGAAGACAGAAACTTCTGAGTTTACAGGTAGTCAGTACCTTAGGAATGAGTTTTCTATGAAATCTGTTAGCTCCATGTGCCATTAGCTGCACTTTGGAAAAGTTCACAGGTGGGTGTATTTATTAGTAGAGAATTTCAGACCTTCCTTTTGCTCATAAATCTGCACAAACAAAATGATTTTACTCCCTATTAGGGTCTGCTCAGCCACCCCTTTGTTGAGCTTTCTTTCTCCAGGTCTGGGTTCTTAGCCTGGACTGAGCATCTTTTTGGGGTTCATAGTCTTGTGGCATCAGGTGGGAGGATTCAGTGTGAGTGCCTCACTTGAGAACTTTACATCCCACAGGAAGAGAAGGACTTTACATCCCACAGGAAGAGGGTTTGTTTGTTTTTTGCACTACTTTTCTCTTCATGCCTAATCTGACTCCTGAGTGCATAAATCAAAAACATTCACAGCATGAAGGTTTCTTGGGCCTTGAATGGAGAATGCAAAGGCCTGTTTGTTCCAAGCTTGGGGAAACTGTGTGCAACAGAGGAAAACAGCAGAAAACAATTTATGTTTTTATTGAGTTATTGTGAAATAGTCTTTGTTTTTCTGTAGGGTGAAGGCATCTATTGCTGCTCTAGTTATCTCTTCCAACATGCCTTTGACACAACTAAGAGACTAACCTAGTAGAGTTTGTTTCCATTTATTGAGGTAAAGGTGATCAGATATATCCTGTGACTTTTATGAACTTCCTGTTTGGTTTTGAAACATTTTCTGGTAAACAACAAATAGTCGCGAGATCAAGAGGAAATAATACATCGGTATTACAATACGGGGTTTTTACCTTGAAGACCACAAAGACTGAACTATAAATATGAATCATCTCTACTATTTATTGTTTTATTAGCTGAAAGGGAAGTTGAGGAGCATGACATTTATCATTCAGGCTGTCTCCTTACCTTTTGGGTTCTCCCCTGCCTTATCTTGTACATATTCCAAACAGTTTTAGGACACATCCCAAGCTACACATGAATCTGATCCAACCTTTCTAGCACCGCACAGTGACCTCAGAATTTGGGGGCATATCTGAGTCCTCCTAATTTTTCCTCCACTGAACCTAATCTGGGATGCCTACAGGTAACCTGCAAAGAGCAAAGGCTTTGGACACAGAAAGACCTTGATCTTAATGCAGGCTCTGCCAGTTGCTACCTGTGTGACCTTGGACAAGTTTCTTAAATGTCTTTGAGTCTCACTTACCTCAATGTAAGATCAAAGTAATAGCACCAACTCCACAGGGTTGCTGTGGGGATGCAATAAGATAACATATGAAAAATACTTTGTGGCACAGGCATTTAATATGTGCCATTTTCTCAGACATAATAACCACAGTTTAATTAATCTTTATACTCAGCCCATGTCATATAACTCTTTTAGTTTTACATCAAACTCTACATGGTGAGTATCATTGTTTAAAACTGCATTTTGCAAATGAGGAAGCTGAAGTTTCTGAGTTTAAGAGTTTGCAGAGTTAAGGATAGAGTGAGCCTGGAGTCAGACCCGTATTTGCCAGCATTCCTTCTGCTTTAATGCTGTTCCCTGTTTTCCTAGGTGATGACTTTCCAAGTTGTCCTAATACCATTCAGAGCCCTTACCACCCTCGAGGAACAAAGTACCTTTGCGCAGCGATGGTCTAGATCAGCAGTTTTCAGACTTTTTCATCTCATGGCACACAGTAACTAATTACTAAAATTCTGCATCACACCGAAGGTATATATTTTGCTCATGTGACAAAAAAAAAGAGGTATAATTTGGATTCATTCACACCAGATGGCTATTGTGTTGGCTGTTGTCAGTTTTTTATTTGACAATCTAAGGGAAAAGAGTTCAATGCCATGACTAAATAGTCAAGTATTGCATGTTTTAAAAATTCTTGCAGCACACCAGTTGAAATTGCTGGTCTACATCATCTTCGGTGGGTCTTTTCCTACTATTGTCTTTGAAAGGCCATATTTGATGGAGTGGAGAGTTTGGAGATGGGAATTAAGTATAGCTTGTTCTCCTGTGTGTGATTTTACATTGTCACTGCAACTGGAAACCTCAATTTGCTCAAGTTGTAGAATGCAGATAATTATCATAGCTGCCTGACAGGCTTTTGTGAGGGTGAAATAATGGGCTTTTTCTTTTTTTAACAAAAAATTTCCCCCATGTGCCAGCGTTTGACTTGGTGTTGGCATTACAAGATGTGTAAGCCATTGACTCCCTTCTCAAGTGGCTTATGGTGTAGTAAGGGGAATGGAAAAGTAAATGAATATTTATGTTACATAGTGAAGAATAACATAGCGGAAGGCATAATAGAAGCACAGAGGGAGAGAACCATGAATGCTCCCAGTGGGTTATCAGGACAGGCTTCTCACTTAAGATATTGGATCTGGGTTTTGAAGACCAAATAGTATTTACTGTGATGGAGCTTGGCTTTTAGAAAGATAGCTTTTGAAGCAGTGTCACTTTTATTCTGTGAACAAAACCGAATCTTCTTCTCCATAGATTTTGGAGGTAGATCTTATTATCCATTTTTACATATGAGAAAACCGAGGTACAGAGAGATTGATTAAAGTCACATTATTGCACACAATAGTGACCCTAATAGTGGGGACCTCTGACCAGCCGAGAGGAGAAGCCCATGCCGTGGCAGGTCGGTGGTGATCTTTGGGGGGCACTGAGGATTATTCCCTGAAGGTATTGTGCACGGCCAGGGCCTGTTCTGCCCATGCACAGAGCTGGCTCTCATAACAGAGTGGTGATTACCTCAACAATCGTTTAATTGTGGAATTCATATTCATGCCTCTTTGCATGGACTTTGAAGTCAGAAACCTGTGGATTTTAGTTATAGCTCCACCACTTACTAATTGTAGAACCACAGATAAGTTTCTTGATTTCACTACTTGGGTTTCTGAAGTAGTGGTGATCATGTGTCTCTCAGTGGATTATTCTGGGGGTCAGGTGATGATATCTGCATGTTAGTAAGGACAGGCTAATAGTGCAGTAAGAACCTCTTAGTAGGCTCCCAGCGTGTATAAGGGGCAACCGATGGATGCTTCTCTCTCACATTGATGTTTCTCTCCCTCTCTTCCCCTCTCTGTAAAAAATAAATAAAATCTTAAAAAAAAGTCTTAGTAGGTTCATTTCTTGCCATGTGCCTGGTTAGGCAGCTCTCCTGGGTAACTGCCATTGAACAATCAGGTCAAGGACCAGTGTCTGTCCATGGGGTGTTTTAAAAGTCTTTGAAATGTGATAGACAATGGAAATATTTAATTTGTATTTATTTGATTGCTAGTGAAGTAAAACTTTTAAATTTATATTAGCCATTTGCTTTTCTTTTGTAACTTACAGATAATTTAAAATGTTATATACTAAAACCCATCCATATTTCCTTCTATGATTTCTACCTTGATCAGCAGGTACTTTTTGAGCGTAGTATCTTGGAAACCTTCAGTATTTTGCAAATATTTGGTGAATTGTATTTAGGCTTTTTTCCCCCTATTCAACACTGAAGTGGACACTGAGTGGACATATGGATAAAGGACACTTGTGAGTCACTTCTGCCTTGGAGAAGGTTACGGTTTTCCAGGTTGATAAGACTTACGAACATGAAGCAGTTAGACAATAACACAACTGCTGCGTGACTAAGTTACTGTCGTCTTCTCTACCTGACACCTGTCCCTGTGTAACATTTATCTTGACTGATGGAAAACTAGATGAATGTTTATATCAAGTTATGAACTTAGCATCTTCTCATTTATTCTTCCTTCTCCGACTCAGACCTGATCCTTCATCATATCACATGAACTCTATCTCAGGAAAATCTCTCAAATTTTGCCCATTACTTCCCAACTTTACTCCCTCCACCTTGTCCAGAGCCTAGTATTTCGTTTCTCGAATAGTCTCCTTTCCTTCCTGCCTTCCTTGCAATCTTGCCCATCTTTCGCATCACTCTCAGAGTATTGCACTAAAGTACAGCATTGACCAAACCATTTCTAGGCTTAAATGCTTGTCTTTGCTCCCCAGCTACTGTGGGATAAACCAAACTAGTTAGCTTGGCATTCAAGTTCCTTCAGAATCTGGCCCTGTCCAATAACTGGCCTCCCCACCTACTACATTCCCATAGTCCAGACGCTTATCTAAACTTTCCCCAAATTTGTACATGTAGCATCTCCTTTTATGGCCCTGTGTCTTTGTAGCCTAAGGATTGAGATCCTGGTCTCTCATGTCAGAACACACTGTTCCAGTAGTGAGATCTCTAAGCCTCAGTTTCCACATCTGTGAAATGGAAGTAAAAATAATGCCTACTTCTTAAGAGAAGTTATGAGAAATAAATGAGCTAATTTCAATAGAACAGAACCTGTCATATAATAAGTCCTTGATAATATTTAGCTATGAGTTGTTATTGTACATGCAGTTTTCTCTGCAGGGAAATTCCCTACTATTTTTCCTTTACTGACAGAAATTCTACTCATCTTTCAACTCTTATTGCAGTATCACATCTGCATTCAAGCCTTCTCCTT